CGCCGGCAATCGAACCCGAGACCCCAGGATTACAAGGCCAGCGTTCTAACCGCTAGACCACCTCATCTTATTATTATTTAGTGTTCTGTCTGACGACAGGTCCATATGAACAGGATCCTTGCATCCTTTTCTCGGACTGGGACCTGTTCATACACGTTCTTGGCAGATGATCCAGAAGTGGTTTGCCATTGCCTTCTTCTGTGTGTGTGAATGGAGTAATTGTTGGGATGCCACGGAGAAACCGGGGAGCCCCCGGAGGAAAACTCCGTGATACCTAGACCACGGTCTTGCCCAACACAAGTTATAAATCTGAGCACCACCGGGAATTGAACCCGGGACCCCAGGATTACAAGGCTAGTGTTCTGGCCACTATAATTACATCGGTATTTGGGGCCAAAGGTATAATGCCGACATAACACGTAAAACACTTTTTGAGTTTATCCACACATTACAGAAAGGATGGAGCACAGCTTTCAGTATTCAGAATGTCCCAAAAAGATGTATACACATTCATTGAATGAAATAAAGACATGTTAATAAATTAAACCATTTCATTCGTCAGCATTGCTACTTAGTAAATTAGTAGGTGTTAAAGACGGCCAGAGTTAGCTTCGTGGCACAGCTGACAGGGGTGACCAACTGACTGACAAGCGGCCACCTACACCGCGTCCTTCACTTAATCCCACAAGAAACGACGTGGGGGGTACTCAACAGATTGTATCGGTCTGGGAAAGTGTTGCCAAGAAAGGACCAGATATCACGATGGTAATTTGGGGGTGCCCCGTCTTCTTGTCACCACATGTCCTCGTCTCCTTACAGCTGACGAACGGCGGGGACAGTGTATGCATCTTTTTGGAACACCCTGTACATCTGGTACGTCTGGTGTAGAAAATCCCGGAGAATTATAGAACAAAGTTCTGGAGGTCAGTAAAATTAAGATGTGACTGAACGAATTTTTGATGTGGAAGCGACTGGAAAATATAATTTACTTCGGACCCGAATTCTCGGCAATGACGCTGAGTGACTGATAATGTTGGTGAGTGGTAACGCTCTAGACTTGTATCTCAGTCGGATTACTGGCTAAGGATGATAGTATAGAATACTGAGATGGTCACTTCGACCTTACAGCGTCCTTTCAAATCCTTTACCTCATGACTTTCATTAACATTTTCGCTCGTAATTTGGCGCTGTTTGTGAAATGACATAAGTTAGTAAAAGGTGTTTGGTATTTTCATCTAATTTTCATATGGGATTAAAATTTGAAGGTATGGATTCTCTGAGTGTTTTTTTTTTTCGAAACTAGATCTACTCGACAGATTTTTATTTTTTTATATAACTTTCTGTTCTATTTTGATGCTTTGTTCCTCCTTCCGTTTGTGTTTAACTTTCTTCACTCCTCAGTTCCGTATTTTTCGTCCTCTCTCGCCACCTTGCTTCAGTTTCCACCTGACTGAATTCTGATGCTGTTCTGCTCGTCACCAGGGTAGCACCTCGCGTCTCCAAGCGACAGAACGCAACACAATTGTCGCTCATTACACAAACGCGTATGTGGACGTCTCCCTATTTCTTCTCCGAAGCTATTGAAGGAATTCGATGAGATTCTGTGTTTACGACAGCCACGAAGTCCGTTGTGGGTGAACCCCAAGAACGTATTAAGAATTGTCACAGGATATTTTCTATCAGATATTTGTGTGTGCGATTAAGAGTGTCGTACAGAATTCGTGGCCACTAAGATACATACGCCTAGTGATTAATATTATTACTTTTTTCACATAGTATTTGCCATCTAGTTGATGAAATAGATGCTCCATGTATTTCAAATTGTGCAAGGTGCTTTAAGAGAACCTGGTAGTTGCTCATCCAATAAGCAGTTCCCTGCCAAACCGTAAGGTTCATTATTATGTTCGCAAAAGCCCTTACAGCCAATCACATTGTTCAACTTGGCCAAAGTCCTCTCTCTCATCTCTTCAATCATCCCCCACCCCGAACATTTTTTATGGAATACCGTGTGCCAAAAGATGGCTGGGACTTAATCTCAGCATAATTCTACGACCTCGAAAATGTCATGTT